ACGGTTCCATCGTGATGTCGATGAAACCAAGGACTGGATTCGCGAGAAGGACGCGGCGCTGAACAACGACGATCTGGGCAAGGATTTGCGCAGCGTTCAAGCTCTGCAGCGTAAGCACGAGGGTCTCGAGAGAGATCTGGCGGCTCTGGGCGACAAGATCAAGCAACTCGACGAGACGGCTAATCGCCTGATGCAGTCGCATCCGGAAACTGCCGAGCAAACGTACGCCAAGCAGAAGGAGATTAACGAAGAGTGGACCCAACTGACGGCCAAAGCTAACAGCAGGAAGGAGAAGCTTCTGGACTCGTACGATCTGCAACGCTTCCTCAGTGATTATCGCGACTTAATGGCCTGGATTAATTCAATGATGGGCTTGGTCGCTTCCGAAGAGCTCGCATCGGACGTCACGGGTGCCGAAGCGTTGCTCGAACGTCATCAGGTAAAGACAATCTCCATCGTAGCATGGTAGAAACACAGTCGTCACAGTCATCTCTTGGCAAATCCTTCACCAAGTCATTTAAATTATAGAATCACAGAGCAGAGATAGATGCGCGATACGGCATACTTCCAGAGGTATAAGAACGTTTGAGCATGCATCAAAGGAGTCGCGGAGTTGCCTGGCGAGAGTGCCTAAATTTCTTTCGTGTAATCCGTCTCGTAGATGATTTATCTTTTTTTTTCTTTTACGAGAGGAGAAGTTGATTGGACCTTGTGCCGATGTTTTGCAATGAAAATACTGCCTATTAACAGTTTGAGTATTTTCAATGCTTATCGCGTAATTACTACCTTTCTGCTTGTAATATCTATTGCCGAATGGATTTGATCATGTAACAAACAAAGAGAGTTGTGTACTGGCACTCAAAAACACTCGAGAACCGAATCGCAATCCAGTTTTGTACATTTCGTTAATTTTTTGTACAGGAGCACCGGATGGAGATAGATGCTAGAGCAGGTACTTTCCAGGCGTTCGAATTGTTCGGCCAACAACTATTGCAATCCAGCCACTACGCCAGCGTCGAAATACTGGAGAAACTCGAGTCTATGTCCGAGGCGCGACAAGAGCTTGAGAAAGCTTGGATCCAACGACGCATGCAGCTCGACCAGAATCTCGAACTGCAGCTGTTCTGCAGGGATTGCGAGCAGGCGGAGAATTGGATGAGCGCGCGGGAGGCTTTTCTCAGCAGTGCCGATGCGGTGGACAGCAGCGACAACGTCGAGGCTCTCATCAAGAAGCACGAAGATTTTGACAAAGCGATCAACGCTCACGAGGAGAAGATCGCTACCTTACAGACTCTGGCTGATCAGCTGATTGCCGCGGAGCATTACGCCGCTAAACCCATCGACGAAAGACGATGTCAAGTGTTGGATCGCTGGCGGCACTTGAAGGACGCTCTTATTGAGAAGCGCTCGAGGCTGGGCGAGTCTCAAACTCTGCAGCAGTTCTCTCGAGACGCGGACGAGATGGAAAATTGGATTGCCGAGAAACTTCAACTGGCAACTGAAGAGAATTACAAGGATCCCGCCAACATACAGTCAAAGCATCAGAAACATCAGGCTTTCGAAGCCGAATTGGCAGCCAATGCGGACCGAATTCAATCGGTGCTCGCTATGGGAGGCAATCTAATTGAAAAGCATCAGTGTGCCGGTTCGGAAGATGCAGTTCAAAAGAGATTGGCGTCTATCGCTGACCAGTGGGAGTACCTTACGCAAAAGACCACAGAGAAGTCCATGAAGCTGAAGGAAGCCAACAAACAGCGTACTTATATCGCTGCCGTCAAGGATCTTGATTTCTGGCTCGGGGAAGTCGAGAGTTTGCTCACGTCCGAAGACGCCGGCAAGGACTTGGCTTCGGTGCAAAATCTCATGAAGAAACATCAACTTGTTGAGGCAGACATACAGGCGCACGAGGAAAGAATCAAGGATATGAACGCACAGGCTGATTCGTTGATCGAGAGCGGCCAGTTCGATGCCGCTGGTATTCAAGAGAAACGTCAGAGCATAAATGAGCGTTACGAGCGAATCAGGAACCTAGCGGCGCACAGACAGGCGAGGCTCAATGAAGCCAACACTCTGCATCAGTTCTTCCGCGACATTGCTGACGAGGAGTCTTGGATCAAGGAGAAGAAGCTTCTCGTCGGATCGGATGACTATGGCCGCGACCTTACGGGCGTACAGAACTTGAAGAAGAAGCACAAGAGATTGGAGGCCGAGCTTGGTAGTCACGAACCCGCCATCCAAGCTGTCCAGGAAGCGGGGGAGAAATTGATGGACGTTTCTAATCTGGGAGTACCCGAGATCGAACAGCGTCTGAAGCTTCTCAATCAAGCGTGGGCTGAATTGAAGCAATTGGCTGCCACTAGAGGACAGAAGTTGGACGAATCCTTGACGTATCAGCAGTTCCTCGCCAAGGTCGAAGAGGAGGAAGCCTGGATTACGGAGAAGCAGCAATTGCTCTCCGTCGAAGATTACGGCGATACAATGGCCGCTGTTCAGGGCCTTTTGAAGAAACACGATGCATTCGAGACCGACTTTGCGGCCCACGGTGAGCGCTGCAAGGACATTTGCGAGGCCGGCGAAACGCTGATCAAAGCTGGCAATCATCGAGCGGACGCTATCAGTCAAAGATGCGCGCAGTTGCGCAACAAATTGGAGCAACTCGGAGCTCTCGCGGCCCGCAGGAAGACACGGTTGAACGACAACTCGGCGTACTTGCAGTTCATGTGGAAGGCCGACGTAGTCGAGTCGTGGATCGCCGATAAGGAGACTCACGTACGTTCCGAGGAATTCGGACGAGATTTATCTACCGTACAGACGCTGCTCACGAAACAGGAGACGTTCGACGCTGGCTTGCACGCCTTTGAGCACGAAGGCATTCAGAATATCACCTCGTTGAAGGAAATGCTCGTCGATTCCGGCCACGATCAGACGCCCAGCATTCAGAAGCGTCATGCCGACGTTATCGCTCGCTGGCAGAAACTTCTGGCCGATTCAGATTCGAGGAAACAACGTCTGTTGAGAATGCAGGATCAGTTCAGGCAGATCGAGGAGCTCTATCTGACGTTTGCGAAGAAAGCGTCCGCTTTCAACTCTTGGTTCGAGAATGCCGAGGAAGATCTGACGGATCCTGTGCGTTGTAACAGCATCGAGGAGATTCGTGCCCTTCGCGAGGCACACGCGCAGTTTCAAGCTAGCTTATCTTCGGCTGAAGCTGACTTCCAAGCCCTGGCTGCCCTTGACCGGCAAATCAAGAGCTTCAACGTCGGGCCAAATCCATACACGTGGTTCACGATGGAAGCTTTGGAAGATACTTGGCGTAACTTACAGAAGATAATAAAGGAACGCGATGTTGAACTCGCGAAAGAAGCGCAGCGGCAGGAGGAGAATGATAAATTGCGTAAGGAATTCGCCAAGCATGCCAATGCCTTCCACCAGTGGCTCGCGGAAACGAGGTTTGCATCGATCTTCAATTATTTAGTCACCTAGCTGTTTAATTAAAAGGAATAAAAACGCAATCATTCATTTTCTTGTAGAACATCTATGATGGAAGGATCTGGATCTTTAGAACAGCAACTGGAGGCTACCAAGGTTTGTTTCACTGAAACAGATGCACTTATCATAAGCATAATTAACGCGAGATTTGTATTCATGTTGCAAACGATGTTGCATATAAATGATTTTCTTCAAATTTACAGCGGAAAACTCAAGAAGTGCGCGCACGTCGTCAAGACCTGAAGAAGATTGAAGATCTGGGGGCTATTCTGGAGGAACATCTAATTCTCGACAATCGTTACACAGAGCACAGTACCGTAGGATTGGCGCAGCAGTGGGATCAGTTGGATCAGTTGGGAATGCGCATGCAACACAATTTAGAACAGCAGATTCAAGCGCGAAATCAATCCGGTGTATCTGAAGACGCACTCAAAGAATTCTCCATGATGTTCAAGCACTTTGACAAGGACAAGAGTGGCCGTCTGAATCATCAAGAATTCAAATCGTGCTTGAGGGCTTTGGGCTACGACCTTCCTATGATGGAGGAAGGACAACCCGATCCAGAATTCGAGAACATCTTAGGTTTGTTGAGTTCAATTCGCAATTTTATGCCGGTTACATTTCGAATACCCATTTTAACACGATATTATTCTTCGCAGACATCGTAGATCCTAACAGAGACGGCTATGTGTCGTTGCAAGAATACATGGCGTTTATGATCAGCAAGGAAACGGAGAATGTGCAGAGTTCGGAGGAAATAGAGAACGCTTTCCGAGCAATCACTGCAGCAGATCGGCCGTATGTCACAAAAGAGGAATTATATGCCGTAGGTGTCGCGAATATTATTCAGAAATGCGAGTTACAATATTCTTACAATCGTGAAAAAGTGCAATTTACATTCGTTAATCCTTTTTGTTCCAGAACCTCACGAAAGAGATGGCCGATTATTGCGTAGCCCGTATGAAACCTTACGTAGATCCGAAATCGGAAAGACCGATAACAGCTGCATTGGATTACATAGAATTTACGCGCACTCTTTTCCAGAATTAATTATGCATTCACATACGTATGCGTTATACTATTTTGTTCAAGCTTATTAAATTATAATTGCATAAAGAGCACAAGGCCGCTATGTTTATCTTTAACCACGCTTGATTTGTATTTCTATTAATAGCTAGAGAGTGATGTAGAGCATCTCGCGCAAAAATCGCGACTTTCTTCTGAGCTGATAAAGAATATATACACAAATATATTTGCGTGTTAGAAGCATGTTTTCACTAACATATTCTTATATGCTTTTAATATTGCATTATTTAATCTTCAACTCCCAGCTAGTTATTCGAAATTCTTCCACGTTGTTCTTCAAGATAAATACATTTAATATATTATATTGATTGAATAAATCTATAAAACATATATGGCGTATCTTTTTATTGTTGTGTATAAGACGTAAATTTTCTTACGTGGGTGCTTGTTCTTTCGTTTTTTATTTAGTAATAATATTAGATAAGTACTGTACAAATCACACTCTTGCCTTTTATTGAGCAACTGGGTTTACAACCGTTTGAGACTTCTCTTGAATTATTTGTTCAGCGCGGTACACTTTCCAGGATATCAGACAATCTCTGGCCATTTTGAACAAAGTGTAATAATGTATAACTATTAACAATATCGTCGACAGTATTTGATACCATTCCGTCACGCCTATTAAAAGAAACACTTGAACATTCACCAATAATAATTGCAATGCCAGTATTGGACTTGGTAGCGTTGAGCGGTTATTAAATATAGTCTGGAACATGTAACAATTAGTATAGAGTTTAATAATCTTGTGTTGCTCCAAAAGCAAAAAAGAATCACGTACATGAAATTTAGAGTGAGCTGGATTACCCGGTTCCGCTGCTGTGCACAAACCTTCAGAGCGATAAATTTCCCGATTGTGCCTTACAATCGAGCCGTGCGGCCACAAAACCGCGTCGTTCCACGGTTGGGCGTAAATGTGATTATTGCGATTATCTATTTTAACCCATCGACCTAGGTGCATCGCTGATCTGTGTAGCTCGTCGCAATATCTAAAAGTTAATTACGTATTTTAACGGTTAAGCTTGGCCAGGCAATTCTTATGCCACAGGGTGGAACGACACTCACCTGAAAGGATAAACCTGAGCGAGGTACGCGCATATCCTCCCGAGCCAAAACAAGATTATGTGCTGTATCACCCAAAACACATTAAAATGTAAATGCGGAGGTACGAAAATAATAGGCGCGACTACGCAGACGTACGCGTTAGTGGAAGACGAAAATAGAGCTCGCCTTAGCCGTTCGTTAAAATCGGCCCTCAAAGTGGACACCTCCGCTCGAATGGCCGATGCGTTTAACGAGCAACTGTGCAAGGGTTTGTCTGAAAATGTGAGAACAGTGACGTCGTGCTAGACTTTGGCAATATTAATAAACAAACCACGACGTGTACGACGATACCTAATACACATTTTGCTTTCCGCTCCTCCTTTCCTCCGCCTGATCTATCGAAAAATGACGTTGTTCTTATTCCCACCATAAAATATGAATATACCGACAAACTTCTGAAACAAATGGACGCCATAAGCGATTCATTCTTACAAACTATTCTAGTTTCTATTGCAGAGTATACAGTGCAATGTGGTACGTTATTTAATATATCTTCAAGTACTTGTATAATAAAGAGATACTCACGGACAACATAAATAAACGAGTTTCATAGAGCTATATTTCAAAGCCATGTGATAAAGGCACCAGCCTTGCACGCTCTTCACGGCAAGGGATACAGATGACCTGAAAGTAGAATCGCACAAACGTCACTGTGTCCCTGTTACAAGCTTCTGTCATTGACAGAATCACATACCTTATGATGTTTTGAATCGTCAACTTGGCAGGTACAGATGGCAACGAGAGCTCAATGACCCGTAGTAACAACATGTAGAGGAACCTGTGTGCCACCATGGTGAAAATAAATACAAGCAGGTAAGGGTCTATCAAATAAAAGTTCTGAAACATGAAAAAGAGCGCGACTTGGAACTCTTCGATTCCCTGAGCGTGCAGAACGACCGGCCTCGCCGCGAAGAGGCCGCGACCCAGCTTCCGGACGCGTAACGTAACGCAAGCGCGAACCCACCATGCTGTAACCATTGTAGGAATTGGGTAGCCACCAGACGGTCCTGTAGAGATTAAGCAGCTGCAGGCAGGCCGCGATGATCGAGACGAGCAGGGAGAGAGCCTCGAAGCTCAGCTGGCCGTCGACCGGCACCGCGGGTATGGGAATGTGCTTCGGCGCCAGGGACCTCCCGCTGTAGATCTCGTCGAGCCTCTTGTCGTCCGCGCCGGCGGTACTCGCACGCTCCCCGCTGTTGCTCCGCCCGTTGGCGGAGCCAACGCTACCGCTGCCGGACCTGGCGGCCGGCCCGGTCCGACTGACGGCGTTTCGTCTGCCTCCGGGCATGCTTCGCGAGACCCGCGAGAGTTCCCTCAGCCCGAGAATCCTGGCGACGTGCTCCGCATGGCACGACGCGCGCACCAACCTCGAGCAGCTTCTCGGGGGGGCGAGAGGTCTCGTGTCGAGGGTGGCTCTCGGTTTTTTCGGACGCTACTCTCCTGACATGTCGATTATGTCATTGTAAACAAAAACACACGGGGAGGAGCGTGACGTGACGCAACACGCCGCTGTCAGGCACTCGGCCGAGACGCGGACGCCGATCCCGCAGCTCGTCCCCTCGTCCTTCCGTAAATAAGTCGCGTGCGCTCGTTGAGAAACTGATTACAACTTGATAAATCAACGTTCTCGGCGATTTCTCCAGGCCGTCGACGAACGTACCGACGTACCGACGGTGCCGGGAGGCGGAGGGACGCGCGCGGCTACTTGGTTCGCGGGACGGAACGCAGGTAGCGCTGCGGATCGAGCGGCCGGAACCGCGTCTGCTCGCCGCTCTCGGTCCTCTTCCCCCTCCCGGCCGGTCCTCCGTCGCGTAGGTGGCGTGCTCGGATGTCCGAGAAAAAAATGGCTTTGGGACAAAGGGACTGGGGATCCTCGCCAGCGATGTGGGCTGACAAATAATAGTCCGAGTCTCCCGTTGCACCTCGTCGCCGAGTGGGAAGCAGCTGTCAATTATGACGCTTTCGTCGCCCGAGCCCAGCGGAACCGAGAGTACTCGCAACTGACGCGCTGCCCCCCGGTCGAGACCCTCGCCGACGATCCTTGGAATGAAAATGTTAGTGTGCCGCGATCATACGCGACCCCGACGCGCCGAATGCTCGTGTTTTCACGTGGCTTGTCCATGTTTTACAGATGTTCAGTCCTGTACAGATAAAGCACGAATGTACAACTGTAGAGGATGTCAGTGCGAGCGGTAGGATTAGCAGTTCGGACAGCCCCTTGTATCCTTTTATCAATCAGGATGTCGAGTACAAGCACCGCCAGTTGTCGCAGTTCTGGGAGCAGACCCAGCTGTCGGACGAGATGCCCGCCAAGCTCGGGATGCACGATCAGCAGGCCATGTTCCAGGCGGAAGTGAGTATCCACGTGTCGTTTTCGCGCGAGCGACTCGCGTTTAGGCAATTCGGCAAGTGACGTTCGTATATTCACATTCTAGGAAGCTGGCGGCTTGTCGTACGTGAAGGATTACGTACAGAATGGTATGTTCTATCCGGCAGATCAAGAGGATGGCAACAATCAGATGCCGACGGGCAACCAGTGTGACCAGAGTACGAGTAACATCATGACGGTACAGGAAGCCAAGTCGCAAGCCTTGCAGAATCTAGAGGACGTCGGTCAGACGTTGGCGGCCCAGTCGCTGAGCGCTGGGAAAAGCAATCGTCTCGGGAGACCGTCGAAAAGTACCGCGGAGCCAGGCGCGGGGAAGAAGCTGAAATGCCAATGTGAGATCTGCTTCAAGGAATTCGGACACAAGAGCAATTTGTTCATACACATGAGAACGCACAACGGGGAGAGGCCGTATAAATGCAACCAATGTGACAAGTGTTTTACGCACAGTGGAAACCTGGCCATACACATGAGAACGCACTCCGGTGAACGCCCGTACGGTTGTCAGGTATGCGGGAAAATGTTCAGCCACAGTGGCAATCTCTCGACTCACCTGAGAACTCACTCGGGCGTCAAGCCCTACAAATGTGGCGTGTGTGGTAAAGAGTTTAGGCACAGTGGTAACTTGTCGATACACGAGAGGATACATTCCGGGATCAAGCCGTTTCAATGTAAGATCTGCGGGAAGGAGTTCTATCACAGCGGCAATTTGACGACTCACATGAAGAAACATCGTGTAAATACTGACGCGGGCGCAGCTGACTGTGAGAACAATCAAAAGCACGCACTGCATACTGGTACGGATGTTAACACTACCGCTTCTTCAAATTACTTAAATAATGTGTCTTTAACGCTCAATGATGACATTAAATTAATGCATAATACTAGTAATGTGGTTCCTATAAAGAATGAAAGTACAGAGGATACTGTATTGAACACTATGGGAAGATTAACATCCACTTCTAGTTGAAGGTACATACGATTATTATTAAGCAGGATGAGTTGTATAATTTGTTACAGTTGATTATCGATGGCTAGCCAAAAAATTGAAAAGAAATCCTTGATGCCTTAATAATAAGAAAGTACGTATCATCCGTTATGTATAATTTCTTTGTAAAAATGTAAAATTAATTTTTTGCATTTTAAGAGGGCCTGTTGATCTCAAAATATACAAGCTGTTACTCCCAAGTTTTTCAATAATTAGCTTGATAGATATTGATTTGTAACAATTATATATGATACATCCTGTTAAAAAAATACTGTGTCCTTAGTATTTTTCATACTCTTTTTTTTTTTTTTCCAATGCTCTTACAAAGCAGCAATTTTTAAGTAACAAATAGTTTTCATTTTTGAACCTTGATGCAGTTACATGGTCTTCCTGAATTTTAATTGTAACACTATGTAAAAAATAATAAATTCATGTATTTTACTTAGACTTACTTAAGATCAGATGGTATATAATTATAATGATCTGTGATGTTTTTGAGTTACTAAAGTAGGATATGAAAGGACAGTAGAAACGATGCTTCTATACAAAAACTCCACCATTTATATAAATAATTAACATATTCATTATTTCTTGTTCGATTACATCTGTTTATACAAGTACTTTTTAATCCATATCAGACTTAAATAGCCCTTGAATTAAATAAGTAAATTATTGTAATTATTATTAGGATATATATTTTGAGCATACAAAACATGTGTATAAAAATAAAAAATATAGTTTAAATCTTGTTTTGAGCTCATATGTGCAATTTGATATCTAATGTGTGATAAATTACTCCTTAAAACTTTTGCTATCCTTCTTTCTACACTTCTCTTATTCATATAAAGTTTATTTTAATAAATAGTCTCTTAAATTTTTTTTATATTGCTCATACAGTTGACATAACAGATATTGGTTGAGTGATATAGTTTGCATAAATGAGATATGTTAGAAACTATGTAACTTTTGACTTTTCGCATATGCGAATATAAAATTTCAAAACTATTTAACATTTCTAAATATTTTTATGTAGTAATATTTAATAAATTTTTTAAAAACTAATAAACTTGGCTCTCAATAATTTCTTCACACAGTTATAATTATATGTACAATCTAATTAAAATTATATACTTATTTATCAAATTTGAGATTCAAATATACATATCGTAATAAATATATTACGTGGATTTTTATTATACTATTGTATCTGTATTATTTATAATCGTAAGTATAAATTCTAATTTATACTTTATACTGAGAATTGATTAAACTTTCAAGCCTAATCTACGATGTGCCCTTTGCGTCTAGAAACATTCTATTTTATATAGGCAAATCAAAACGCTTAAAGAATTTGTCGACCACGTATGATTGTACAATATTTAATGTACAATTTATCAACTTGCATGCATTGTTTAAACGTATTTGTTGGTTGCAAAATAGAATGTTTCTAGACGCAAAGAGCATATTGTAGATTAGGCCTTAGGAATGAAGAACTTGATGCCAACGTGTTACCGTATTAATAAAATAAGAATACTTGAGTTACTTATCGTACAATTATTAGCTTATTCATATTAGTTAAAAGTATGGAATGTTATCTGTTATAAAGTCATTGGTGTAGACTAGGGTAACTACAATGTTAACATTATAAACTTGATTTTAGTAAAAAAGATCTCCGAGTTCTGTTACACCGTTCACTTTTGTCGAGCAAACTAATTACATTCGTCTGCAATTAACGTACAACCTTCAAAGGAACAGTCATGTTCCGCGGTAGCCGGGCTGCGAGAGTTTCTGCTACGTTTTCGGAAAGTTCATGCCAGATGTACTTCCCGATTACAGGTACGTCTTCCAATGGCAGTTTGAAGGATACCAGCAATGTTAAGCACAGGCCATCTCCTCCCTGTCCACCGCTAAATTCGACAGACAATAAACCGTGTGGCTTGTGCTGAGCTACATCGTTCCCGAATATTTCCTAAAGAAACGAATAAAAATGTTCAATCTACGTTTAGTTTGGCGATGCACCAAACACTCACCATCATGAAGCTATGCAGAGTCGACAGTAAACTGCGATTTGGGTTGACCTCGCAAATTGGCGGATTATACCGTTCGGTGTCAGACATAAGCACGTGTAAACTGTTCCTATCGGCAAAATTTATATGTAAGAAAAATATTGTAGGGACTAACGAACCGACACTGATGTACATGCTAAAATTTCTATTTCCATAGACAAGTTAGTACAGACGTTTTGACCTAAAATCTTGAGTGTACTACGAAATATCACAAATGGAAATTTTAGCACGTACATCAGTGTTGTGGTTCGTTAGCCCCTACAATGTTTTTCGTATATTATCGAACCTCTAACGTATAAGAATTTATTATCTTGTTAATTTGAATGTAACATTAAATACGCTAGAACCTAACAATATCATTACAGTTCTATTACGTGCGGCACAACTTACGTTGCCCTTTTTTTAGATGTAACTATTAATCTGAGCGACAGCTTCGCATGCGACTTGGACACGGGCATCAAGTGAGGGTGCTGAGGCACGGACTTGTTCGAAACGTAACTCTTGCCCCGATCCAGGAGGTACAGGATGTCGTTGGACCTCAACGGCAGGTCGTCGATGTTTCGCACCCAACACGCTTGCAGCGACTCCTCGTTCGCCTGGTCGGGCGTCTTCAGGCTCCCGCCGACTATATTGCCGGTGAATACGAAGCGAAACCACGTGCCGTTGGCGCATTCGACGAGTATCAGCGTCGAGGGCTCTATCACCAGGCCCGTCTCCTCCAGGACCTCCCTCTTCACGGCGCTCACGAGATTCTCGTTCTTCTCCACCCTGCCGGCCGGCAGGTACCACTTGCCGGTGCAGGAGGCCTTCGCCTCCTGCATCATCAACACCTCGCCCTGGTCATTGATGACCACAGCGGCGACTATGTACGTCACCGTTTTCAGGCAAATGGGAACGTGCGGCTGACCTGATTTTGCACCTGTAACATACACCGCGTTAAATGTCCCTCTCTCACCGCGGGAGAGGAGAAGAGACGGCATCGCGAAAACGATCGCCGCGTCTGACGTACCTGTCGTGTCACTCGCGAGAGTATGTACATTGCATATGTCATCGTTCTCCAGCGCCTGTCCGGCGAGCAGCGATTCCACTTGATTCTCCACGAGGTCTGACATGTTGCGCGTACGCACGCACGCACAGCCTGAAAATACCGTGTCGCGTGGCCCGATGCAGCTCTCTCTTTCTCTCCGCGGTCAGTGACGAGCGGCGTACAAGTGACAGGCCATTAGGCGGTAAACGCGTGGAAAGACGCATCGAGATGTGTCAAGATGCGCGATTTCAGTTCCGCCTCCGCTGATGCTCGTCGAGCACATTCCTGCGCGAAATTCCCTATGCGGAACGACGCGGTATCCTCGCGGTTCTTCAACGCGGAACGACGAGACCGCTCACCTCTTTGGAGCCGAGCTGCGAAAGTCTCGGATGAATCGGCGCTCGCGCAATTCTTCAACTTTTTACGGTCCTTCGATACATTCGAGTATACAGATTGCCATTTATCTCGCTGTCGGAGACTCGATCGTGAATCCTTTTCCCCCCGACTCGTCAACATTTTCATTGACAATTGTTGAATTCGTTACTGAAATTTTTCGCTCTTCGCGAGTTACGCTAGAGACCAAGATTCACGGTCGAGCCCCAGGTGTATTTGCAACAGTTGACGGCCGCCGTTTGTTTTCTGTCTAGCTGGAACCGACTCCTGAAAGATCACGTACAGACGTTGCGACGAGATCCAAGAGATACAAACAATACGAATACTAGACGCCAAGTACTATATCCGTATCAAAAATCACTTGATACGCTCGGTATAAACGCCCGCGGATCATTTTGGTTCGATACTCCCGACTCGCGAGTATCAGACCAAGCTGGTACGCGTATCAAAAGATGTCAGCGTGCTGTAAACGATTCGATTCGGATTTATACAGAGCTTGGCTTTCAAGCTTTCGCGGCTGCTGTCTTGTTCAGTCGTAATGGCACCAACTCGATGCGCGTACCAACCGATTTAACAGTGTAAAAGGGGTCAGTGAGATTACGGTGGTTTGCCAAAAACAGCCGGAGCGCGATGCCGATAACGCGATATCGGGCGCGTTATCGTCGAGAATCCGCGCCAGCGTGGGCCCGCAACGTGGTCTAGGGATATAATCATCGAGTACGTTAGACGCCTGGGGGAGAGGGTGCTCGGCACTCACATGGGAACTGATGCTTGTGTGCGTGACTTTTAATAACATTTCGTTCAGACGCAGTGATGTAGTTGATGTGGTGATACGCGAGGCGGACCGGCACCCGGAATTCAAGCTGACATAGGCAAAAAAATGGATGCCCTGAGCGTGTTAATCGTGATTGCTCTGATGCATTGCTCACTATTCTTTTTTGATACGCTTTTCAAGGTAAATCCTACGACTCTCGTTCTCGCCTCCAACGCTCGAGAGTTCGGCGCGAGAGGCCCGCCGGAGCGAAACGACGCGCGAGCGAAGGTCCCCCGGGCTCGGCAAGTTGTCAGTCGTCACCGACATCCACGTTTTCTGTCATGAGATTCTCGCCGCGAGCTCTCGAGCAATTTTGCGACGTGGATCACTGCAAGTTCGTCGTAGCGGGGCTAACTTCGGACCTGATTTGTTTTCTTTCAGTCCTGCTCGCACTTCCCGTACCTCTACTTCCTGGAGAACACCGGCCTGGAGATACAGATATTGAGGGTGAAATTGTTCACGACCGCCTTCAATCGTAAAATAATAAAATGGGGCATGGACCGCTCCAGGTTTTGGACCGCCTGGTTCAACGCAGGTGTCATCATAAGCATTGTACTCTTGCCAATAGCCATTGTCATTATCTTGAAGATGACGTTTAACATGTGGCTAGCCGGATCCTCGAACGACGCCGGTTCAGGAGCTGTATTAGAACCCATGGTAAAGTCTGTGAAAAGTGAAGTCATGCTCCGTCATCTCTCAAGAATTGTTCTCGTGTAGCAAACTCCAACACAAAATTTTTATAGCATTATGTGATTATACACGGCAATCCTTTCTACATCACCAAAATACACGCGAGTCTATGACTATCTCAGATGATCAACATGATATTTAATTACTAATGCTACAATTGTTATCTTTAGTACAGTTTAGTTTTAATAATGATTCCATATGTTTCAGTTACCAGGCGTGGATATTCCTTTCAATGAAATTGGCTATTACGTAACGACGCTAGCAATATGTAGTATAATTCACGAGTTAGGGCATGCCCTTGCCGCAGCGAGAGAAGACGTACAGCTGTTCGGGATAGGAATGATGATTGTTTTCGTAATTCCAATAGCTCACGTGCACATAAGCAATGAACAATTAGTTGCATTACCATTGAGAAATCAATTACGTATTGTGTGCGCGGGAATTTGGCATAACGTTATTCTTGCTACAGTAGCCGCAGCAATTCTCGTGTTTTCCACATGGCTGTGGGCACCGTTTTATAGCATCGGCTCTGGGGTCTACGTGAAGACTATTCTACCTGTGAGTGACCAAAGAACAGAGTTTTTGTTACAATGTATTCTTAATGTGTAATTTTTGCTTGTTACTCTTTGTTGTAGAATTCACCCGCGTTAGGACCATCTGGTCTTTTGGAACGCGATGTGATATACAAGTTAAACAATTGCCCCGTAAAGAACGGCGAGGATTGGTACGATTGTATGCTGCACGCGGTGCAGCATTCTGCGCCTGGCTATTGCGTCAAGCAATCATTTATGCAGGTAATTTTTTCAGAAGGCACCTATCCATTATAATTTCATCGTCTAGTACTCGTATTATCTGTACCTTTTCAATCTCGTTGCAACGCCCGTACGTAATATTTCAGGACTACGACGAGTCAGTTCCAGCTAAGCAGAAAACAAACGGTGCTGTGAACTGTTGTACGCCCGACAGCGAAATAAATGGCAATCTGTGCTTCGAATATATCGAAGGACCGCAGACCGCGCCTCTTCATTTACCTCCGCATTCTTGCCTTCCAGTAAGGACGATGCTTAATCAGTCGCAAAACTTCTGTCAAACTAGTCACGAATGTTTGTCTCATGATACTCATTGTATGAGACCTTCTCTGGACAATGTGACAAAGGTTGGTACAAGCAAACGTAATAGAGTCTTTATAGGCTTCGAAAATGGTCACCTTAAAACAATTTAAAATTGCAGATCATACAAATAAAAAGGAAAATGGGTAAGGATGTGTTATTTGTTGGCCATCCGGCCGACATTTACAGGACTGTTGACGTGTCGGATTGGGTGCCAAAGTATTCCTTCCTGTATCCCAAGTTACCCGAATCGTTTGCGCTACTTTGCAAGTACATCACGGTATTTTCAGCAGGGATGGCAATTATTAACGTTGTGCCTTGCTTCTTTATGGATGGTCAATACATTCTAAATATAGTTGTACTTTATTTATTGAACTCCATCCCACATAATAAAAATATCAGAGAAAGCACAGTACTTACAATAACAAGTATAGGTACATTACTTCTTATAACCAACTTAATGTATTTGTTTATGAATAAATTATTGTAAGTTAATAATGCATCCCCGTCTTCTCTGCCTCCACTTTTCGCATAGAATCGAAACGATCTTAACTAACCTGTCGTATCAATAGTAATAATAATAATGCCCTTTTAGAATTTGAGTCTGGATTTACAGAACCGTCAACGACACATCCTTTATATCTTAATAATCAACTAACGTGTCTTGATATCAAATTCTTGTATACTTGAATTAAAAAAAACCATAAACGAACATAATGATTGATTTAATAACTCAGTTACAGAAATTATATTATTTTAAATTTGAAATATTACTAGCTATATCAGTTAAGTGTTTAAAGGGAAGAAAGTTTATTTTAATTTTGTCTTATTTGCCTTGTTATTTGTCACGAAAAGGTTTATTTTCACAATAAGAGAAAGCTGTACCTTGCGCGAGTCATGCTAAATTTGTTATCGTTTCGCCGCTCCATCCGCATCCAGCGCTGAAAACAATATTAATATCGTAAAGACACGTGTACTCCAAAAAGTGATAAAATTAACCAACGATGTAAGAAGAAAACTGTAAAATATTGCTTGTTTAATCAAGTACGTCACTTGAAAAATTAAACTGTTAAATTGCACAAAGGACACACAATGGGCTCAAGTTCTACTGGTATTAATACTCACTTTTACCATCGCAAGCAACAATTTTTACTTTATCTACTATCGCAACCTCCTGAACCTCACGGATTTCAACGTCGTTAAGCATAAAAGTCCATACATTATCACAAAATCTATACGTGTTTAATTTGCCAGCCTGTAACAAAAACGATGAATCAGATTCTTTCCGAATGCGATGAAGTCGGGCATCGAGGCATCGTTTCGGACACAGAAATGTACCTTAAATGTAAGTCTCGACTTGACTCTAGTCGCTAGAGCTTGATTGATGGCCTTGTCAAATTGGAGCAGCACCTTTAGAGCGAGCTGTGGCGTGATTTGTCCATACTGAAAGATACGTTATCACTGTTAGATGCGATAAAGTCACGAAATAACAAAGACCCTTTCTAATGCATTCAATATTTCCTCCTTCCAATACACGTTAGTCCGTTAGGACACGTAGTGAGATACGTGGTAATTTTTACTTGTCTAACAAAATGGTTTCGCTCTCACGAAGGACGAAATCTGCTGTATGATTTCTTGTTATTTTTCAGCGTAAATGATATTTTGACAGCACACAAACTTCTCTAGCACACGCAGATTGCGTTGTTGTTCATAAAGAATTGATCTTTCTTCGTGCACGTACGTCGAAAACAAAAAATGCGGGACCTAACCTACAACTCGTCGTGTCGCCGTGCACTCACCTGCATCAGCTCGTCGAGACTTTCCTGCAGCGTGTTTCCTAACGTAGTGTTTCTGTACAATTGGTAAGTCATTCTTATGACAAATGCCCCGCAACAACGTGGAGAGTAACGATGTCGGATCGCCAAGCGTCTACCGTCAACAAACAACAGTACCTCTTTGCATAGCTCGGGCTCTCTGACTGCGCCGAGTGCTCCGTTGCGCGCACAGTGCACACACTCCTCACTTATGCACTTGGTTGGACATTAACGTATTTTTAAATAACTATCGCGTGCAATCGTTTGTACTTCGTACGAAGACGTTTGAAGTGCAATGAAAAGATTGTGTCTAACTTAATAAACCTACGAGTATTCCGTTAAAATCCGCGACGCGGTTTATATATAAAAGGTCCGATTTGGGTTTGCGCGCGCGATTAGGATTTCAAGACACGCGTAACATCCGCCTCGTTCGACTGAGCCGCGCCGAATGAATAACATTGTTTTTGACATTGTTTTTGACCATGATTTTCACGGCGCTACGTCATTTCTTGGAATCCGCGCTCGGCGACCGAGTTGTTTACGACTTCGCGGTCTGCGGCGCTCGGCAAAAAAAGTCACGCCGTACGCAGGATCGTTCATTCGTACGGCGACAGTTGAACGAGTCGCATTCCTGCTTGATACGCGTTCGCGACAAGTGTGGAAAGTAACCGCGAACGCTCTCTGCGAATAATTAGTGATCATCGCACCATCTGCATCGCTCAATTCCCGCCATTTGCCGTGGATTCTCAGTTAGCCGGCAAGACAGACAGCGCGAGTCGAGTGCTTCAACTTGCATTTACAGGTAATTTATTAATACTACTAGTTTACACATTTGTATAAGCAGCTATTTCGCACAGTTAAAGGAAGATTGAAGAGAGATTCAAAAGTTTCGAGACAAAAAGCCAGACAACCCTGAAGCCCGAAAATCCCGTCTTCAAAACTTTTAATCTGATCCTTTCCTTTAATTTCTATCCTACTAATCTCTTCTCCTCCCCCTTTCGTGTTATAAAACTCAAGATTATACATATTTATTTCATATTAAATGGAATTAAACGACGACGTATCCGATTGGCTCGCTGTTTCGACGATTTAGAAATCGCGCCTGCTGCTTCACTCGGCTAACTTCAAATCGTAGTCAGTTGTGCGACGCGACGCGATGGAAGTCGAATTCGGATCGCTCGATCCGTATTTTGCTTCGATCGACGCGATCTAAAAGTTCAGCGCGAATAGAATTATCACGAGCACCTTCGGATCGTCGGGCGTTTGTTTTAACAATCGCGTGTAACGATAGTTATCAACGTTTATTGTATTCCAGTATCGCGATTCCGACGTCCGGTGATTCCGACTCGATCGTCATCAAACGAGAGATCCACGCATACGTTTCGAGCTGTATCCGACGCCGAAGTGCCGCGAGCAGCGACAGCATTGAGGATGCTCGATCGTCGCCAGGTATGTGCGTACAATTATTACATCGTAACTTTAATACTGTGTCGCGCGCCTTTTCTCGAAGTTTATAGAAAAGTTTTGTGGAAACGCCTGTCAACCGTTAGATTGCATCGGCGTCGTACGAGTTGACTTCGTCGCGTTCTTTCCCTCTGAAAAAAAGAGCTGAACGTGCAACCGGGAATAAGAGCATCAGATTTAGTGCGCGTCCCCTTCGGCGTTACCGACATCTACAGAGCTGCGCTTTAGCAACTGCCGATAACTTCGCGCCGCCAGTTAGTTACGGGACGCGCCGCGCGGAAGTGAAGTCGCGGAGTTCGCCGCCCGACTTGGGACTGTTCGAGCTGGTTCGAGCCGGACGCTTCGAGGTTTCGCGACGATCGTGATCTAAAATCGGGGCGAACTAAAGCCGCGCGCGAACGTACAGTTATCGCGAGTGACCGCGAGTGCCTCCGTATCGTCGGGCGACGTTATCGCGCCGATATCGTGACTTCGCGTCCGTCAAGGAGCGCGCGCGCGAAATCGGTCGAGATACGCGGCGCGCTTGGCGCCATTACTGGCCATTACTTCCTCGCCGAGATGCGGCGCAGAGAGGCGCACGAGAATCGTCAGGTATGTAGCGTGTTACTCGCACAATTAGCTGCGCCGATCGCATCCGACGCGATGCCTCGTCACTTGGACGATACTTTTAAGCGCGCCACCGGGTGCCTCGCACGACTCGGCCGAAGTTTCGAGCGGCCGAGGTCGGGCAGAGCGGCTCGAATCTCGCCGTGCGCGCGCGCGCGCACGCGCGGCGTTCGCGCGGCGTCTATTGTATTCCAGTATCGCGATTCCGATGTCCGGTGATTCGGTCCGACTCGATCGTCATCAAACGAGAGATCCACGCATACGTTTCGAGCCGTATCCTACGCCGAAGTGCCGCGAGCAGCGACAGCATTCCCAGTGAGAAATGATTCGTCGATCGACGTCGAAATGATGTCGAATGGACGTCAATTCGACGGTGTCGATGTCGATTCGACGTCGTTTCGACGTCGATCGACGAATCATTTCTTACTGGGTTGAGGATGCTCGATCGTCGCCAGGTATATGCGTACAATTATTACATCGTAACTTTAATACTGTGTCGCGCGGGTCTTTTCTTAAAGTTTACAAAAAAGTTTTGTGGGAAACGCCTTTCACCCGTTAGATTGCATCGACGTCGTACGAGTTGACTTCGTCGCGTTCTTTCCCTCTGAAAAAATGAGCTGAACGTGCAACCGGGACGAATAAAAGCATCAGATTAGTGCGCGTCCCCTTCGGCGTTACCGACATCTACAGAGCTGCAACTGTCGATAACTTCGCGCCGCCAGTTAGTTACGGGACGCGCCGCGCGGAAGTGAAGTCGCGGAGTCCGCCGCCCCGACTCGGGACTGTTCGAGCCGGACGCTTCGAGGTTTCGCGACGATCGTGATCTAAAATCGGGCCGCGGGCGAACGTACAGTGATCGCGAGTGACCGCGAGTGCCTCCGTATCGTCGGGCGACGTTATCGCGCCGATACCGTGACTTCGCGTCCGTCAAGGAGCGCGCGCGCGAAATCGGTCGAGATACGCGGCGCGCTTGGCGCCATTACTCCCTCGCCGAGATGCGACGCGGAGAGGCGCGCGAGAATCGTCAGGTATGTTAGCGTGTTACTCGCACAATTAGCTGCACCGATCGCATCCGACGCGATGCCTCGTCACTTGGACGATACTTTTAAGCGCGCCACCGGGTGTCTCGCACGAATCGGCCAAAGTTTCCGGCGGCCGAGGTCGGGCAGAGCGGCTTGAATTTCGCCGCGCGCGCGCGGCGTTTGCTCGGCGTTTGCGCGTCGAGTATCGCGAAACGAGCCGTTCTTATCGACATCGCCTCTCGCCCTCTCCTCCCCCGTCGCCCTCCCGCCCCTTACGCCCCAGCAGCCCGAATTTTCAGAGTAGAGGTAATCCCGGGTTGACGCAGCGGGAGAGAATCAAATCCGCGCGAGGCGAGGCGGAGCGGCGAGGGGCAGGGGACGGGAGAGGGCGCGTAAGAGCGTAGGGATGAATCTAACGAGGTAACTCGCGCGCCGATTGCCCGCAATGTTTATGCTCCTCTGATTCGCGAGCGGCTGCCTTCGCGACGCTGCTCTTAGGACGATCATGCGATTTATGCCGCGCCGTAGGAAACGAGGGGGAAAAACCGCTGACCAAAATCTTGTACGTCAACGCCCACTAACGCCCAGTGGGCATTACTTTATCTTATCGTCTTATTTTATCTTATTTTACTTTTATAATGCGAGCCAGCAAGGCCTAATGCCCCCAAAAAATGCCCAGTAATGCCGCAAATCTGTACACCACAATGCCCTCAGCGGTTTGTCCCTCGATAGAAAAATGAACGCTTATCGGAATCGCTTTAATTCTCTTTCCTTGTGAAACGGTTCCCGCGCAATTGTCGCTCAGGCACTCGCGATTAGTTGAAGTCCGGGAATAACTTTCTACGTAAGTTTCAACGTTCTCGAAATTTCGCAGGAGAAATCTTATTACGATCGGTCCAAATTCTGACGAATATCGTTAGAATTGTTGCTACATAAGAGACCGTTTTAGACGTACAGTTAATGAATTAATTAGTGGAAGCTAAAAAGTTTTAATCTAGGCATTTTTTCATATTCATTGATAACGTTTCATTAACACGCTTGTGAATTGTTTAGAGTGTGATACCTCATACATAAACCGCGTGTAAATTGTGAACTCGTGATGCAAGTTAAAAAAAAAAAGAGTATATTAGTAACAGTAAATGATTTTATTTATGTGCGTTATGTCACTTTACTCTTTTTATTTTCAATTTTGTAATATATTAAATGTAGTATTTAATTATAATGCAAATGCACATTAATGCACAGGTGGCAACCGTTATTATTTTCGCTGATAACATACATAAATCTTGACGTTTTAGAGAATTAAGCGAGAATTATTTAACTATGATTCAGTAAAATGTAATAAATGACATTTGCAACACAATTAGTATTAATACCGTGTTAATAATACGACGCCGACTGGAAAGGGTGGGAAGAGTCATATTCTTGATTAAACTAACAATAAGATGATATATTACGACCGATACTGTCGAAAGGTAAAATTGGTGGAAAGTTTTCCAGTACGTCGCGTAGAAAAATTTAATTAAAATTAATCGCGCAATATTTCGAGCAATTTTTAACGCAAGCTGTAATTCTGCGTCGACGCGAGTCGTGGCAGGAGGCTCGTTTTCCTCCTTTTATAAATTCGCACGCGCGCTGGCTCGAACGTAAATATGAGAAGCCTTATAGCTATCCGTTCGGTTCAAATACTCGAGTAATTACCGGCAGAAAGTTTCGGCTTGCATGCGAAACTTTCCTCGGCAAAAGAGGCACAAAGCCTCTCGAGCCGGAAATGAATAAGCAGCTCCCATGAACTTGGCGCACGAAAGTGTATTTGTTTCTCTACGTACCAGGTGTTTCGCCAGATTTATTAGCATCGATCCGCAGCTTTTGCACAATTTGCAAATCAAAGCCTACAATTCTTTCGCGTAGATTCTTTCGCTCTCTGCTCACTGGATCTCTGCGAAAAAAATATATATAACGGAGTAACTCTTGGTGTCAGCAGTAAAATTCTTCACGAATTTGTAATTTGAAACCAATTTGTTCCAACGAAACATCGGTGGATAAACAACGCTACATGACTATATGGAAATGTAAGAAGCTGCTGATCTTAAAGAGTCGCTAATCCTTTT